CAATAGCACCGGAAAAGGCGCACCTCAAACGCTGTATGTATAAAATTACTCCATTGCTCGACTGGCGATTTCGGAAGCTATCCTCGTCCCTTTTATCTCAAAGATACAGTAAATCCGTTTGGAAGTGAATTTGCAAAAGCAAGGAAAGCGAGAGTTCCATTGTTTTGTGATAAATGAAAGCCGCCGAGCTTTGCTCAAAAGATTACTACTTCCCCCTGCTTTTCCCGCCTAGTCCTACGATCAAAAAAGGCCAGATGGGCCATGCAAAGCCGCCAGGGGGTCAGAGAAAGCTGGCTGGACGAAACAGCAATAAAGAAGGTTGAACTGGAACCTGGCTCATGCTGTCTGCCCTAGCGACGTCCGCCAAGCTTCCCTTCAAATATCAGTTGAATAAAAGCAATAAAGAGCCATTCTACGAGACAGAGAACGCAGATGAGAGAAAGGCGGCTAAAGATAAAAATCAAGAACATTTACTGAGAGCTCAAACCAGAAGAAAGCAACAGAACATTGGGGCTCAAAGGGGGTCAAAAGAGAATGGGGCCTAAGAGGCAGAGATCAACAGCCGATTATTCATTATTATATTATGTAATATCTAATAGGAAGGCTAGGTTCGCTGCACCAGTGGCCGATGATGCTGGTTTCGGCTTGGAGTTGTCTAGATTGAGCGATCAACTCTGTTTTCCTTTAGACGGGGCGCGATTCCGGATGCCCAATGTAAGCGGAAACGGAAGAAAACGAACTACCAAGGTCCCTGGCCTAAAAAAGACCCGAGATTGCGAGATACGTTCGTACTTTTTCAACTCCTATATGGCTGAAGAGAATGGAAAGGTCATTACGTCTGGCGACTGGCACCCGCTTGCGCTGGCCCAGACTTGAGTCCCTAAATTTTCTTCCACTTGACCCCGAGCCTACCTCGATGAGCTCGACATTCCTTTTCCATGGGTCATGCAGTTAGTTCCCTTAAGGCTGTTGGTTGGTCCCTGATCTACTAGACCCTATCAGTTCCCGACCATCTCCTCCACTCCGTCTGCGTGCGAGATTCGTAGAAATTGACGAGGTGTGGCAAACTTAGATGAAATGGATACCGATATTCTTCCCGCCAGATACAGTCGGCCCTTATTTTCACTGATAGCTACGACAGCTTGAGTCACGATCATGGCTTTGGTGCTGCCTTCAGTGCTGTGATAATCGGACAGAAAGAAGGTGGCGAAGGGAAAGCAAACTGACAATTAAAAGCTTCCGCAGCGACGGTTCCGGTAGCGGGATTGCAGCGTGCGCCAACAACCAGACGGGGTTTCGCTAAGGGAGCAAGGGCGAGGGGTGCAAGGAAAGGTCCCAACAAAGCTCTTTGCAGATCAGTTTCAACCCCCCGCTTCGACGATCCTCGATAGCCCCAGAAAGAGAGTAAATCGCCTGTGAGGGCTATAGGCGATCTGAGTGCTAGTGCTGTTCCCTTGAGGATTCAATTTATTTTGATCGTACTCTGATTCTGCCGTCGGTTTTTTCCTCCTCTCGTTGTGCTACTTCTATCGATTCTTCATTGACACTTCGCTCCCTTTTTCTTCCTAGTATACTAAGGTCAGCGCGCCACCTTTTGTTCCCCGCCTTCTTCCGATCTTAAGGAGACTATCAGTGGAAAACTATTATTGGGTATGTGAGCTGTCTACAACCTTCGTCGGCTTTTTTTAAGCCGGAATTGGAACTAAAGTGAGCGTCCAGCTAGTCTTTGTGTGGTCTTAATTAGCAACAAAAAGGGGGCGACGCATCTTGAATTGGGGAGTCTATGCAGGCATGGTCGTATATATTTATGGAAATCGTTATATATATCATATATGTACTCTGAGGGCCCTAAAGTTAAACTACCAAATCATGTGCGCGGAAGTAAATAGTTCCGGTGTTCATCTCCTGCTAACCTTGTATACATTTTAGGGTAGTCAGCGTCCGCTTCAATTGATAATCTCAATTTAAAAATGTTATTTGATTTAAAACCAATAAAAAAAAAACGTTCGATCCTTCCGAGGTGTTTTATGCAACACAATTGATCAACCTTCTTAGAGAATGAAGATTCAGCTTCGGCGCGGATTTCACTATCTGGTTACTTGTTCACAGGGAGAGGTACGCCTTTTGCTGGACGCCAAGTTCATTTGGGATATTGAGGGAATAACAGTGATTCTGACTTGTGCGCTTCGGTGGTTCAGTTGATTAAACACACCTTCTCATCGACGGTCATTGAGGTAGCAGTAGAATCAAGATGCGACAAATAGGTCATGAGCGGACCCACCTTATCTAAGAATTTCTTCTGAAAAATTTGGAAAGAAAAATAAACGTATTCGTTTTGATGATCGGTGCTTTTTCTCAAGTAGCGCAAAGTTGATTATCGAAAGGGTACGTTTATGGTAGGTATAACATGTATTATTTGTTGCTTCTACTGAAGCTGCTCTTTTCAGTACTCGTACATGAAAACATGAAATATTTATTGTTTTAAGTAGCCTACCCTTTTTAAGAAAAGAAGTACAAGTTTTTCTGTTTTCAGTGTATTAGTTAATTCATGCCCGTTTCATCTGGACATGGGTCTCCTTCAGTTACTTGCACAGGAACACTTTTACTGCTTAGGACCGTTTTTTGAGCCGTTCAGCAAAATACGACTAAACTCCATGTTTTGATATGTACTCGAATGGAAAACGCTGCGATTCAATTGTTATGTATTTTTTTAGACTCCATCTTATATATTTCGGGGGAGGAAGGTATAGGTTCGTGGGCACGACACAGTCGATTGGGCTTCTCTAGCGTGGAGTTTCCGCTCCGCGCTAATCTGCTACCTGAGCGGCTTGTCAGACGTCAAAATGGGCACACGTGTGCAGGATATATCTAACTGTACCAATACCAGCTGTCGATCTTCGATTCGTATGGTTTTTAGAATCTGAATTTCCAGGGAATACCAGACTCTTACGCGACCGCTGTAGCAAGTATGTTTCGATCTGTAACGTAGATAAATGACGCCCCTAAATTAGAGCGTGACCATTGCATTATATTGCAAAGTATTAATTATTGCATTATACGATTGTTTGAACGAGACTTTAAGAAGACGAAAAAATGAGACTGACTTATTCTATAGCACGATTGACAGCAAATTCACTTTGAACTCTATTTGTGTATTGGTAACGGGAACACCGTTTTCTGTTGCAAGCCTATCGTTTCCTAGTTGTCTAACACGTATTTTAATTAAAGTTAAAAAATTGACTTGTTTACATGACTCCGGATATCGCTATTGTCTTGCTCTATAGTTGACTTACACTGAAAAAAAAGGCCAATTCGTTGAAATCATGGGTTAATCACATTTGAATATTTAGAAACTCTGCAAGAGTATATAGCCAGTGTAGATTAATTTATTATTATAGCTATTATTATAGCTAGTACAAGGGAAATCCTATGTACGTGTACAGAGAGATCCGCGTGTGTGTTTACGTATGCGTCCATACAAAACTAGAATGTCACCTCCTTCGTCCACGCTGTTAAAAACTAAGTAACATATCATTTTCGATTCCCATCTAACGAGATCCTTTTTTGCGATCGATAGATGCGTCCGTTGTATTGAAAATCAAATTTTCAGCTGATGTTCATGTTCTGAGTCTCGCAGTTGGTGAAGGAGGTGTAACGCTACCGTATCTTTTCCGAAAAAGCAAAACTTTTAATAAACGAGTTGTTATGCGGCGGTCGATCGATTAAATAAGTAAAAACCTGAGCGTGAGCCCCCTAAACGGCCCAGATTTGAGTCCGGTCAATTACATGTATGGAGCATTACCTAGGAAAAGTGTCGACATGATTACGACTTCTCATTCATCCACTCATTCAGGGTGTGTATACACACGTATAAACGCAGTATTGGTTTAGATGCGGTCGCAAATTTGTTTTTGCTGTACCCAAAAATTCCTGTTCGTTAAGATCTTTCAGCAAATCTTAGGTAGTAGACACAAAACAACAACATTAGACTTAAGAAGAAAGTTGCGAGTGGACGGCAGCTTTTGAGTAGGTTGAGCTATTAGACGCGGACAAAATTGTCTGAAAACCAAATATATACGAAACATCCTAACGTCAAATACGACAACGTATGTGGATGTGGACCATTGTAATCGAACACGATGCAATACGTCCTTTGTTTCCGCATTTGTTCTTAAATGGTTGAAATTTATCCACTGTGCATACATGTACGACGTTGACCGTTAGCTTATACCAGCTGAGTGTACTAGGTAGCCACCTTCGTCTAACTGGTTATCCTTATGCGAACGTACGATTCCCACTCATAAGGTAAGAGCTGTAATTAATAGAAGAAGATTGGATTAGGATGCTTTTAGATCTAGGTTTCCCTCTTTCGTCCGTCCGGTACATCATCGTTGTGTCTACTGGCCGCATTAACGTCTAGTGCACGCGACGTGTGTATGTAAAAACAGCAATGGACATTGTGGCATGTTACTGTTAATATACAGACTGAGTTATATAGATAAAACCTGCGCTTAATGGAAATTACATGATATGATGAAGGAAACACACAGCGACCTTCTCATTATCGTGATAGGTATAGAAAGAAGAAGGCATAGCAAAGAGAATTCTTAGACAGACGTCACCATCTCATTGGAAAGATAATGTCTGAAACAATATGTCCTTCATACCTACAACATTGATTCTATACTAATAGATTTGTGGAAAAATGAGCCAGTCTAATGTTACCTGTATCTGAAAATTAATTTAAATCACGGAATACTCTATATTAGATCATCTATTTAAAGTTAGCAGAACCATTTCTGTTGTAGCAGACGCAAACGGCATATCACTACGCGTCAATACTCTTTAGACACACACGTATATATATATATATATACATAGAGAACGTTAGTAATGGTACATTTTAAATGGGTACTTGTTATTCGGTTCGTGTTCATGTTTTTGCTAAAAAATGTCCGTACCTAACGTTCTCTTCCATTTTATATTTAAAAGACATTACGTTAATAAAAAGCATTAAGTCTATCCGTTTATTGAATTAGATATTTATTTACATTGTGATTGGCGTAATAGGTTGAAGATCATGGATGACGAATGGACATCAAGCGGCTGTGAATTTAATGCGGTTCGATATAATAATTGGCCTGGCAACGTATAGTATAAAATATTCACGGCTCTCTCTGCCATTATAAAAGGTGTTCAATTATAGAGCAAGCTCATTGCTAGAGAAGTGCGATACAGGCTACTTGTTAGGCTCCTCATCTTTATTTTCTTGAGACGATGATCTACCTGCCCAGCTTTCTTGGTTTTCCGCGCGGAAATCCGAAGACATCCGACGGGTATACAGGTTGCCATCAACTTCCAAGGAGGGGTCGGGTGTTCTGCTATTTCGGTGGGCCAAAACAACTTTCCTGATCTGAAAATTCATTGATTTCACGTGTTATCCCTCCGTAATGGAGAATCTTTCAACTAATAGGGGTTTTTAACTACGCAGGAGGAACGTAACATATTTCATGCACTAAATATAATCTAACTGTAATGTCTAAGTTTTCACTGAATCTAAATAATAAAACTCGAGAGTATTTCCATTATAATGTAATTTCATGATAACAATGACGATAAAGGGCGTATCTATCATTTTATCTTCAAATGGAATGATCTGCTATGCCACGTACGATTGGGTACGGCACGGATCGTACTTTAAGACCAGTAAGCACAGCCCTCAATTAGTAACACGCTACCTTACTAAAATCGCTCGGAACTCTCACATAGAAGAACACTTCGTCATACTGATTTTACTTACCTCTGGATCGGTAACTTTATCGAAGTCGTAGTAGTCAAAATCCATCTCGGGGTCCGGACCTGTACTCGATTCCTTTCAACTTTAGTCAGCTAAGGGCTACCTCTGTCCTTGCTTTGAGTCTCAGTGCTCAAACCTATTCAACCGATATACTGTGTCCAAATGCTTCTATTGAGGGTCTTAAATACTGACGGAGAATCTAGATCGAGAATGCCGAATATGCGCTAAGCTTATGCGCGCCCTCTCCCATTACGCATGTTAGGTGCGACGCTCAACTGTTTGATGCGACCATGGCCTCGCACCGTATTTTCCTTCGGCAGAGTGAGTGACCTAGTGAGGCTAAATTCGGTTAACGGAAGCTATCGTGCTCCGCATATCTGTCTCTGTTCCTTATTCGCTACTTCCCAACAACTGAACCGGCTGACACTTTGTGTGTACGGAGAAACATGTGGACCTTAGTGGTGGCTACCTTTTCCTTCGGTGATCTCAGGCTATCGGCACAGTGCGATCACGATTAAAGGCATCGAAAGGCCACAGGTGGTCACCAGACCCACTATTGCTCACATGTATACAAAACAGCAATAAGACCCTCTGAGCACCAGTCGGCCGTCGTTGAGCAAAAAAGCGTTATGGGCACTGCCCAGTTGGCGCTTTGCACATACATATATATGCCGAGTGCAAAACAACGGGTACACATAAATTTGGTATCGGTATATAATTGCATATTTTTTAAATGCGTCCGTCTCTTATGCATATTTTACTGAAAAAGCTGGTGTGAAACAAAAAAAATCTTATACATCGCACATATATAAAACACAGAAAGTAGCCTGAAGCTGAGGCAGTTCTAAACACTTTGCTACCTGAACCGGTTTACAAGGATGATGATCTAAAACAATTAATTGTCAACGAAAGTACTTTTTGATGTCTCTGCTAGGCAAGACAAAGCTCGGGAATATATTATTAAAAGCGAACTCAATTTTTTAACCTGGGTTTTCTAGTTTATACCAGACATTGGGAGGAGAAACGGGAATGCAATTCTTTTTAGTTTTTTTTCTCTAAAATCCCCTCTTATGCACCTAGAACTGAGTCAACTGTAACTGGAAAATATACGCGTGTAGGTCGCTGCAAATGTCTTTTTGAATAGAATGAACCATTATCAAGATGGTATGTTTTGCGTATGGGTATTAAGGGAAGGGAAAATGTATTTATACATTTACAGCGAGTTTGGTCCTGCCGCAGTTGATGAATTGCACGCATCACGGACACAATTTGATGTTTCTCCTTCAATTGAAGTTATTCGATAATATAGGAGACCACTGCGAATCATTGTCGTTCAGTAACTGCTCTCGACGTTTTTCCTAACGAGTAAGCAATTAAAATAATACTAGCACCGTAAATCTTCTAATAAATGCAAACGCATCTGAAGTTTCATATTGCAGTTTAAGTTACAGTTACTTATAAGGGAATTATTAGAACACACTACAAAGTAATATCCAGATCATCCCGTGTGCCTACGTTACGCATGAAAATTCGTATGTGGTAAAACTAAGCGTCATAGATACAAGGTTTTGCTGATATGAGGGCTGTTTATAAACTCCCTTGAGGCAGACCTGTTGTATGATGTATCTACCCGTTCTTAATTATTACAGACAGACCACTTTAGATGACTATTAGGACGATAGTGCCTAAGGATTAGGTAGAGCCATCCATTTCTCCATCGATTTATATA